GGGGGAGGCAGGATGCTAAATCTTGGCCTCACTGTACCAGTTGGTTCGTTTGAGCCCTGTATTTTATACATAATCTCCTAAAATTGCATTCAAAATTTGCAGTTCATCCAGGAGGATTGGTGTAAAACTTTTATGTGTCCACCCTGGTGGTTTTGCTGCACACAGGAAGTGTGCCAGAGGAAAGAAAATTGGATACACACATCATGAGGGAGTTTTACAAAAAATATTGAGCAAGATCAAATTACACAACCAAGCCCAGGACAATGTAATGTCCAAACCCCGCTGTGGCGTCAGGGTCATCCTGGGTCTGTCAGTGGGGGGAACAGAGTTTAGAATAAGGCTGACTGGGCCGGCGACCGCAAACACAGCTCTCCCTGTGAAATTCCACCGTCAATAGGGGCTTTTTCCAGGCCCGGTGCGCCGCAACCCTCCGGAGACCCTGTTTGCAGAGACTCAGAGCGAGGAAGAGACTGCTTGAAAAGTTCCCCGTTCATGTACTGAGAATATGATATTAGTTGCTGCAGAATGTGCAACAGGAGAGTGACAGTGAGCAGTATTTTCACAGTACAGTACCAGCAGAGAGATGCCTCTATTGGCTACTATGACAAACTACTGAGTAAACATGAGCGCAGTGGGTCCATGTTCTGCTCCAAACACTGAGCTGACATCCGATGGCCTTTTCCTGCCTTCCCAACCGAAATGATGGATTGAACAGTGTTGTCGTTCGTTATAAAAATGATCATAACCATGGATGCTCACCACAGTTTAGCAGAAGTTGTAATTCTCTTGGCGGAAAGAGCGCCACCTACAGAAACATCAAGAGAAAACGTCAGCAACTCAGATGGGGAGATAACAGAATGAAACTCATGTAAACGTTGAGGTTATTGAATCCTGTTTATGAGTAACACATGCAACCCTCACCTTCCAACCCATTTAAAACCACCTTTGACTGCCAATACCATGTACACACCCTTATTTTGACAGGTTCAAAAGGCATTTGGGGAAATGTAGGAGCAGTTTTCTCAGCACATTCACTTATTTAAGCCTGGAAGTGCAGCTACAAAACTTTGTCTTTGTGAAAAAAGACCTTTCCGTTGTCCATATTTTCCCTCTCTCATGTTGGGCAACGCTGCTTTCAAGGAACACACATCTGTAAATGAGCCGATTCCTGCCTGAATATGTTATAAGATAAAACAAACGCTGTGTGTGTTCCATTTCCTTCCTTCCTCCGACTCACATCCCTTACGCAAGAGCAGAGCACCATCTTGTGGCGAAGATAAATATCTTTTTCTTGCATACAGATTTATACACAAATTTATGGCTCATTTGAACATATTTCCAGCGCTTTTATTCAGGAGGAAGGAGGAGAATTAATTCAAGACAATCTTTTTTTTTTTTTTTCACACTAAATTTTATTCAACGGTTTAAAAACATGATTGAAAACAATAATCATAAACTGCAGGTATCAATAATCATCAAGAAATGTCCATGTCACGATTAAATACACAGACACCTAATAAGGACATTTTGAAAAACAAGACTTCAGAACCAGAAACGGGTTGCTCCTCAGTGAGCGCTCTATGGGTGTTCTAATGGGAATGCCTAATTTGATTGCAATACCTTCTGGGAATTTGAGCTCTTAAAAGGAGAGAATCGACATACGGAGCGGTACTGGTTGTCATGCAAGTATGAAATAAATATTCCCGGCCTATTATGGCTTTTACAACCAGCTTCAAATGCAAGTCAGTTCCACCCGTGTACCACTTAGGAAAAGTCAAGTCTTACATGTGCAGGTAGAAATGTGTGTACATTCTAATGAGTGCAGGACAGTAATGGTTGATGGTTTTCTGTTTGCATTGCTCCCGACTGTGGAAAACACTAGAATACTAAAACTGACACGTGAATGAAGAAAGAAGCAAACTCCCTCCACTGAGAAGGAAGATACGAGGGAAAGAGGAAGCATTAATGTCTCCTCTAAACGCTCTAAGAAAGAGATCTTCTTGTGAATCTTAACTTTCCCCTTTAGTCTTTACTAAGATGAGAGGCGGAACTTGCAGGTTGGGCCAACGGGCTTAAACTATAACTTAGACAATAAATTGCTGGAGATACCCTGGAGTGAAATTCACAGCTTTAAGGGAGCTAAATCAACACAAGCGAGCGCAGGTGCACCGTTAGCTTTTTCAAGGCTGACAAATGAAAAAAGGCAAGATAAGAAAACAGCTGGAGGAAATAACAGATCCTTTCTTCTCTGCTGTGGTTTCTGTCTCTCTCCAGTCACAGTTAACTGGAGGCTGGAATGGCAGGAGGACACATGAGTCCGGTCCTAGATGTGATACACTAAAGCAGAATCTGACCATCACTGTAACCGGGAGGCTCGTTCTTTTAAGTCGGGGACAATATAGTCCACAGTGATGGGGAGTGGAGGAAATCTGCTTAACTTGAGATATTATTTGGGAGAGAGCTGTTCTTCAACTGATTGTTCATGGTGGGGTTGGACAAAACCATCTCATCTGTTCCATAGCACATGAAAGGGAAACAGCATAATCCCTCTTTATTGAAGATCATAGGGATTGGTTTTGGAAACTGCTACGACCCTCAGTGAGGGGTTTCCTACCGGAGATACAAACCAGAGGGACGCCTGAGAGTTCCTTGAGCCCTGTCAGACTGCAGTAATATGTTGGGCCACTGCTTGGGACTAAAGCGAGTGGAAACTCGGTGCGAGCCCAGCGACAGACAGCCACATGAGGACGAGTAGCGCACCACAGCTCAGGCTGTAACAGGAGACGCCGTAGATACAAGTCGTCAACAGACCCGAGGCTCAATGACACCCCGACCGTCACAGCAGAGACGCTAAATGGACGCTGGGAGGAGAGAAGTCGTGTGTTTTTAATGTTTAGATATTTATTCTGCGAAAGGCAAGAGCCCACCTGAAGACGACAGCTTGGAATACATTGCAAAAGTGACAAAAAACAAAACAAACAAACATTTAAAAAGGGCTGACAGAGGCACCTGATTATCAGATCATAGCAGGCTTTTGTACCTGTGGATCTGTGGATTGACATTTCTTTGCTGGTAGCTGGTGCTCTATGAAACCTGTAGCGTCAGAAGAACACAACAAAAACAAAGTGAGGTCGATGTCTATAGTATTGCACATACAGAGAGAAATGCTGATTCAAGTTTGCGTACGACGGCTGAGAAACATCCCCACAAGAACAAACAATGAAAAGGTGATTGTGATCAGCCTCAAGGCTGAAACCGGAAAAGAGACAATTTGAATTCTTATCTAAACATCTGCGACATGGTGAGCTGTGGCTCAGGTTTTACACTGATGGCTTAATCCCCCCCCCCCCGATCATACTGCTTGAGAATTGTGCGACAAGAGCGGTGAATCAAAACAATGAGCATCAAGCTACAGACAAGTGTGTACAACAGAAAACACAGAACAGGATGTACTCACAGATCAGGTCTGGATTCTCAACCTTGAACATGAATCTCTATTCGGGGATGTAACCCAAATGTGGCACCAATGGAAGACGCAGAGTAAAGATTAGAATACATGTGGTTTGAATTCCCTTCTTTGAAAGTTATAGTAGGTACCTTCAAGCTGTGCAATTATTTAAAAAAAAAAACAAAAAAAAAAAAAAAACACATGATTTTTGCTTGAAACGGTTCACAAATTGTTAGATAAAAAAATTCCGAAAATAATTTGATAAAATTAAGTTTCTCAAATTCAGTCGAATAATTTTGTTCTAAAAAAATGCATGTCAAAAAGTGTAGTAGTTCATGTTGGACACATTCAGGCACCAAGAGCTCAAGATGAAAAACACTAAATGTAAGATCCAGGCCAACAAAGATCACGGAACAAGAAGTCTGTCCCGACAGATTACATTCTGTTTGGGGAGTCAAGGACACGTTCCCTTTCTATCTGGATAGCTGAACCGCCTCAGAAATCTTGGAAGTTTCTAAACTTGAACCGGGAGGAATTTGTTTGACCCGTTTCCAGAAGAAAAGCTGCCATGGAGTCAAACCGTGGGATATTTTAATGTTCACAGTGCTCAGACAAAACATCCGATATGTCAAACACATGTGATGGGGGGGGGGGGGGGGGGGG